TCTGAACTATTATGTGTTATTGTGACCTGATCTGAACTATTATGTGTTATTGTGACTTGATCTTAGCTTTTATGTGTTATTGTGACTTCATCTGAACTGTTATGTGTTACTGTGACCAGATCTGAACTGTTATGTGTTATTGTGACCTGACCTGAACTGTTATGTGTTATTGTGACCCGATTTGAACAGTTATGTGTTATTCTGACTTGATTTGAACTGTTATGTGTTATTGTGACATGTCCTAAACTGTTATGCGTTATTATGACATAACCTGAACTGTTTTGTGTTATTGTGACATGACCTGAACTGTTATGTGTTATTGTGACCAGATTTGAACTGTTATGTGTTATTGTGACCAGATTTGAACTGTTATGTGTTATTGTGACTAGATCTGAACTGTTATGTGTTATTGTGACCAGATTTGAACTGTTATGTGTTATTGTGACCAGATTTGAACTGTTATGTGTTATTGTGACCTGATCTGAACTGTTATGTATTGTGACCTAGGGAGTACATACGTTTGTTGTTATCACCTAAGAATATCTATCTATAATTTTGCCGCTTGGTGTTCTGGGAACATTTTGTGACTTTTATTTATTAACAACAGACGTACCAGGTTTTGCATGTTTGTATTTTGAAGATGACGTGATGTTAAAATCACTTAGACCCTATCAGTTGCAGAATTCTTTGTATTTTGAGAACCATATGACATTTATAATCATTAAGAAAGTTGCTGGTAACCTATGTAAAGTGTTGTATTTTGAGAACCATATGACATTTATAATCATTAAGAAAGTTGCTGGTAACCTATGTAAAGTGTTGTATTTTGAGAACCATATGACATTTGTAATTAGTAAGAAAGTTGCTGGTAACCTATGTAGAGTGTTGTATTTTGAGAACCATATGACATTTGTAATTAGTAAGAAAGTTGCTGGTAACCTATGTAGAGTGTACCTTTTAAATGTCGTTATGTATGAGTTTTTACTTACAACTGATTTTTGCCAGGGGTGATGACGTATTTAAATCTATATGAGTCGTGAAACGATTAGGAGATTTGCCAATAGGTTTTTAATATTCTTTAAACGAAATCCCTGATGGTCGTCCCATGTTATGTTTGTTAAAGTATAAAGTTTTAACAAGTGTCGTACTTTTATTATCACCTTAGTGGTTTCCTATCCTTGAATAACTGACATAACCATTTTAATACTTCTAAAATGAAAGATTATGTGCATTGTAACTGGAAACCTGTTAAATATGACTCAAAAATACGAGTTTTTAAAGTCGAGTAGAGTAAAATATAACGATAAAACTAAGAAAAATTATATCTCATGAAATTTGTCTAAAGATGATGTGTATCTGTTACAGAACTGAATATAAAAAAAACATTTTTCGGTTTCAGGTAAGACACGTGAACTTAAGCTGATCAATTATGTCGGTTTCAGACTAAACACGTGTGGTTATACTGATCATGTTTGCCGGTTTCAGGCAAAAAAATCGAAGTAATGAAAAATTTTGGATGACGAAATAAGCAACTAGTCTTTGATTGGATGATAGTGTTTGTTATCAGAACTTTGACTGTCCATAAAATGTCATTGTTATGTTTTTAGTGCTTTGGCTGTTGATGAAACATCAGTATTGTGTAGCCAGCATTTTCCCTGTTGATAAAATGCTATTATTGTGTTTTTAGTACTTTGACTGTTGATGAAACGTCAGTATTGTGTAACCAGTATTTTCCCTGTTGATAAAACGCTATTATTGTGTTTTCAGTACTTTGACCGTTGATGAAACGTCTGTGTTGTGTAACCAGTATTTTCCCTGTTGAGAAAATGCTATTATTGTGTTTTCAATACTTTGACTGTTGATGAAACGTCAGTGTTGTGTAACCAGTATTTTCCCTGTTGATAAAACGCTATTATTGTGTTTTCAGTACTTTGACCGTTGATGAAACGTCTGTGTTGTGTAACCAGTATTTTCCCTGTTGATAAAATGCTATTATTGTGTTTTCAGTACTTTGACTGTTGATGAAACGTCTGTGTTGTGTAACCAGTATTTTCCCTATTGATAAAATGCTATTATTGTGTTTTCAGTACTTTGACTGTTGATGAAACGTCAGTGTTGTGTAACCAGTATTTTCCCTGTTGATAAAACGCTATTATTGTGTTTTCAGTACTTTGACTGTTGATGAAACGTCATTGTTGTGTAACCAGTATTTTCCCTGTTGATAAAACGCTATTATTGTGTTTTCAGTACTTTGACTGTTGATGAAACGTCTGTGTTGTGTAACCAGTATTTTCCCTGTTGATAAAACGCTATTATTGTGTTTTCAGTACTTTGTTGATGAAATGTCATGGCTGTATTATCAATTATTCAACTGTTAAACAAACGTCAGTATTTTGACTGATGATGAAACATCATTGTTATGATATCAATACTTTTGTTATTAATGAAACGTCATTGTTTTATCGTAAATAGTTTCACTACTGAGTAAAAATCATAATTGTTTTGTTAGTATTATGTGGATGAAGAGAACTATGATAGTTGGGATTATCAGTATTATGTGGATGAAGAGAACTACGATAGTTGGGATTATCAGTATTATATTGCTGAAGAGAATTATGATAGTTGGGATTATCAGTACTATGTTGATGAAAAGAACTATGATAGTTGGGATTATCAGTATTATGTGGATGAAGAGAACTACGATAGTTGGGATTATCAGTATTATATTGCTGAAGAGAATTATGATAGTTGGGATTATCAGTACTATGTTGATGAAGAGAAATATTATAGTTGGGATTATCAGTACTATGTTGATGAAGAGAACTATGATAGCTGGGATTATCAGTACTATGTTGACGAAGAGAACTATGATAGTTGAGATTATCAGTACTATGTTGATGAAAAGAACTATGATAGTTGGGATTATCAGTACTATGTTGATGAAAATAACTATGATAGTTGGGATTATCAGTACTATGTTGACGAAGAGAACTATGATAGTTGGGATTATCAGTACTATGTTGACGAAGAGAACTATGATAGTTGGGATTATCAGTACTATGTTGACGAAGAGAACTATGAGAGTTGGGATTATCAGTATTATGTTGATGAAGAGAACGTTTATAGCTGGGATTATCAGTACTATGTTGATGAAGAGAACTATGATAGTTGGGATTATCAGTACTATGTTGACGAAGAGAACTATGATAGTTGGGATTATCAGTACTATGTTGATGAAGAGAACTATGATAGTTGGGATTATCAGTACTATGTTGACGAAAAGAACTATGATAGTTGGGATTATCAGTATTATGTTGATGAAGAGAACTATGATAGTAAGAACTATGACAAGTAATGTCATTATCATGTGTTTGTATGTTTTCTGGTTTAAACAAGTAATGTCATTATCATGTGTTTGTATGTTTTCTGGTTTAAACAAGTAATGTCATTATCATGTGTTTGTATGTTTTCTGGTTTAAACAAGTAATGTCATTATCATGTGTTTGTATGTTTTCTGATTTAAACAAGTAATGTCATTATCATGTGTTTGTATATTTTCTGGTTTAAACAAGTAATGTCATTATCATGTGTTTGTATGTTTTCTGTTTTAAAGTCCAATACTGCTCTCCGTGTACTTTATATTTTGTTTCTGAGGATTAATCAGAGATCACTTTCTTTTTTTCTTTCTGAACCTGTGTAAATTTTTGGTTTTCTTGGCGTTATGTTTGGTTTCCTCCTCGTTATTATTTTTTTTTTGTTGTGTCTCTACACTAGTATAAATAATTAGTGGTATTTTTTGAAGAGCGGGAGGAGGGGGGTTTCTTCCACCGAAGAAGATCTTACACTCTCGTGCTGTCATCAGCTAGATGGTGAAAACATGTCTGGAATTCAGGGTTACTAATGAGAGGTAAATGAAGATAGCCCGCTCTTCTAACAGGCCAATATCAGTCCGGTAAGGGATAATTAGCACATGACCGAAGACATGCACGCGCTTCAGAAATGTCACCGTCAGCTAAATGTATCTACATTCAGTATGTCGGATATACGAGAGACAAATTCAATAATGGTGGAATTAGAGCTTCAGTGTACGACAGCAGCTATTTGTGTAGGATAATCATGTTGGCACTTCTCTATACATATATACCGTTTAAAAGTTGTTTACATCAATTACCTTAACGTACGACTAATCTCCTTATAGTAAAGACGTCCATACTACAAAGACTGTACAATAATGTTGATAATAAAAAGTTGGAGGTCTACACTTATTTATAGCTGGTTTAATACACCATATTGAACTTAGCTGCGTGAAAGATAAAGAAAAACACCAACTATTAGTTATAGTGTATCTTACAAACGACTTTACAGTTTCTTACATCACGGTGATGAGATTAGCTACTTACACAGCTAGGGCTTGTGTTATAGTTGAAGAGGTGATAATAGAGGGAGTCTTTATCGCACTCTACCGGTGTTTGGATAAGACGGTATGTGTGTATTTAGTAATACGACTCTTCAGTTGAGAGTACTTCCCACCCCGTTAGATTTTGTGTGGCCGGCTTGACTGAGTGTCATCAGTTTGTGACCTTACAGGAGCAGGAAGAGGCGTTAGTTACATCAATCACAATAGGGGTTATCTCGATACAATACGAGACACGTGTATGTAGTAGGCTTTCCTTCCAACATTTTCCGCTTTTATATTTTTACTCTAATTAAAGGCGAACAAAGCTAACGGTACAGTGGAGGTATTAAATAAACCGAGAGACTGGTCGGAAACAAGCTGTTTTCAGCGCGGAGTCTTCACTTTGGTTAAATACAATACTTGGACAGACTCTCATCCCAACCATTCTACTAAGGTTCTTGTTTACTGGTTTCTCTAGTTTATATAATGAGTTTAGGACGAAAATATTGATCTCGAACCACAAATATGGAAGGTCCTTTTAAATACACGAAGTTAGATGTTAACTTTGCATGTCCTCCCATAGGGCCTTACCAGGGGAATATAAGGGGCAAGTGACACCCAAATTTCAACATTTCTCATGAAAACTTTTTCTCGGCTCGCTTCGCTACCCAGTACTCCCTTACCACCCTCTCCCCGAACAGAGTTAGGTGCACGTGTAGTTTAAAATGGCTAATTTTGAAGGGCCTCAACTCGATTTACAGTCCATAGCTAAAGCGAGTTTCGAAACTAGATTCAGTATATTTAGTTTTATATCGTCCACACACACACCTATAAATAGAGTGTGGCTAAGGTTTTCACTGACACCACATACACCTATACATCAGTTACTTTGGCTAAAGTTCTCACTGACTCCACATACACCTATACATCAGTTAGACTGTGGAAAAGGTTCTCACTGACTCCACATACGCCAAAACATCAGTTAGACTGTGGCTAAGGTTTTCACTGATTCCACATACGCCAAAACATCAGTTAGACTGTGGCTAAGGTTCTGACTGACTCCACATACACCTATACATCAGTTACACTGTGGCTAAGGTTTTAACTGACTCCACATACGCCGAAACATCAGTTAGGCTGTGGCTAAGGTTTTCACTGAGTCCACATACGCCTATAAATCAGTTAGACTGCGGCTAAGGTTTGCACTGACTCCACATACGCTTATAAGTGAGTTAGACTGTGGCTAAGGTTTTCACTGACTCCACATACACCTATACATCAGTTAGACTGTGGCTAAGGCTTTCACTGACTCCACATACACCTATAGATCAGTTAGACTGTGGCCAAGGTTCTTACTGACTCCACATACACCTATACATCAGTTAGACTGTGGCTAGGGTTCTCACTGACATCACATACGCCAAACCATCAGTTAGACTGTGGCTAAGGCTCTCACTAACTCCACATACACCTATACATCAGTCAGACTGTGGCTAAGGCTTTCACTGACTCCACATACACCTATACATCAGTTAGACTGTGGCTAAGGTTTTCACTGACTCCACATACACCTATACATCAGTTAGACTGTGGCTAAGGCTTTCACTGACTCCACATACACCTATACATCAGTTAGACTGTGGCTAAGGCTTTCACTGACTCCACATACGCCTATACATCAGTTAGACTGTA